ATTTTTGTTTGCAAATCCGCACAGACTTTTATTGGGGGGGGGGGGGGGGCAGTTTCAGAACGACAAAACTTATAGACTACACAGAGATGAATAAACTCTTTCCAGCTGACACTAAGTTGCTTCTCTCTGTCCTTCCCATACACAGAATACATCATATGTCCTTCAAAGTACAAGATTCTTTTCATGTTCAAACTTTTCCAGCACTGCAAACAATTTAGCATGTGGAACTACACAACACATAAACAAACAAGGTTAAGCATGTGTGTAAACTTTTGAAGAAGACAAGCCAAAACCCAAGGATCCAGAAGAGGATTTAGGAATCTACGTATTAGCCCAACAATGCCTAACTTTTTTACCTGGCCCCCTTCAGTGGAAATCTAGAAACCTACGTTGGGTGCCCAAACTCACAATACTCTCAGGCTAATGCTTCTAAGGCTAAAATCCAAAGAAGCTGCATGTTAAACAAGGAACTGCCTACAGCCAGACAATTAGAATCACAGCACAGATATCGGGTCTGAAATATTGTCCCTCTCCAGAGTTTAGGCACCTGAGTCATGGGAAAAGCAGCACTGCTCACTTGGTATAAAAGAGCAGCATAGTATCTTCTCCTGAAGGTGGACACCTACTCCTGTTCTCTTAGAGACATGGGCAAAGCACTGCATTTTCTTAAACATAGCCAGAGGAAGAGGTACCCACCTTTCATATGACACCCAGAAAGTGGGAGACTTGAACCTGCAACATCCCCCTTGCAAGGCAAATAGTCTACCTCAGGGGTGGGCAATTATTTTGGGCGGAGGGCCGCTTACTAAGTTTTGGAAAGCCCTTGAGGGCCGCATGACAGGAAGCCAAGGACAGATAGATATTAATTTTCTAAATTTTTTAGGGGCCCCACAGGCCAAATAGAATGGCCTGGTGGGCCACATCCAGCCCGTGGGCCACATTTTGCCCACCCCTGCTCTACCTCTTAAGCCAGAACTATCAAACATACAGCCCACATGTTGGATTCAGCCTGTGAACTTGTTGGGGGGAAGAGGACCAGGATTTTGGTGGTGGACCATGTGCCATTGTGGTGGCAACCCCTACAGCTCCCTGAGCAGATACAGTGGTGTGGGTTAAAGCCACAATCACTCATCCTTGCACCAAAATCCTGGGTATGGATTCCTGTTGGATATTTATTTTGATCATTGTACCTTCACTTGTCCTGCTGTCAAAATCCTGAGTACACATTTGTTTTGGTGGCAGCAGGACAAGCAACAGTGATGTTAACCCTTGCAGTTACCTGAGCTGACTCAGAGGCTCAAGCAGCTGTGGGGGTTAATGCTGATACTGAAGGTGGATGTGGATCTGGCATGCAGGGCCAAATAAGTATCACACCCCTGTATTAAGCTATTCCTTGTGTTCCTCGCATCCAAAAAGGGAGAACCCAGGTTCAATGCTCTCCTTTGCCTGCTGGAATTTGTATCTCCCACTTTCCAGGGCAGTGACCTAAGTTCCAGGGTGCAGAATAGCCTGCAGGAGGGGGCAGTCTCCACACATCTTTCTGAAGCATGGCCACTGTGCCAAAAAGAATGCAAAAGTCGTGGAATCAGAGGGAATGAAGATAAAAATGTAACTCCACAACCAAGTGGTTAGCATACCCACCTGGGAAGTGGGGAATCCTTGTTTCCAATCCCCACTTCAAGAGCCACTGCCACTATTAGTATCAAATAACCATTAGACAACATATAGAAACAAACAGTCTTGGCATCAATGACAAGAATCCAGGACAATGCTCTTTCAGGTGAATATTCTACGCCTAAGTCTCCAGTCATGCTCCCTTTTTGTGCTTCCTCTTTCCGGCTCAATGAACCTTGGGTTTTATTCTCCACAGTGGAACAGGTTCAACAGAAGGGTTCCAGGGTGCCATCACCCAACCCAGCCTTTAGTCTAGTAGTTGGGGCACTCTTCAGGGAATCACAATTTGGGACTGAAGTATATCAGGTTGAGGATGTACACTGAACTCATCTTCCAAAAGTGCTTTCTCTTTCTTAACAAATGGTCTGAGCACTAGGCCATTATGTAAAAGGTGGGCACCACCCCCTTAGTACTTCAGCCACATTTTAAAAATAAAGCTGCTGCAACTGCATGAAATCACGTTGGTATGCATCAAGCACGCCCAAATCAGGTTCCTCAAGAGACTTAAGCAGAACACCACCAAGCTTTTGGTTTCTCCTTGAGCTTAGGTGGGAGATAGGTCCTTGGCTGCTTGGATTGGGTCACCTAGGAAACTCCAGAATCAATTGAGAGGGCACCTAATGAGTTTGAGTGCCTCCAGCCTTAGTTTTATGCACTGAAATTTCAAAATTGGGTACCTCAAGTCTTCGTAAGTCCCTACACAAAGCTGACAGGACTAAGATTAGGGGCTTGACTCATGGGGACATTTATTGGTGTAACTATATTTATATCAATGCCATATCTTGTGTGGCCCCTCACTCTGGAATAAAGGTGCATTTTTCCAGTTTCTCTTGTTACTTTTAAAGATCAACTTAATGCATTTTTGTCTGTGATTATTTCAAGTCACTCTTAGAACTAATAAAACCCAACATTTAAAATATAATTTAAAAAACTCGACAGAAATGGGACTGGAAAACCACAGGAATTGACAGAGGGACTGTGAAGGAAAGGAACAATACCTTAAGCTACTTTTAACTACTCTAGTTAAAGTGATTTAAATTTAAAGTGTTGGCACTTCCCCTGTGAACCATAACACAAGTCCTCTGTTCTGCATTTCATGACTGACCAGGGATCTAGGATTCTCATTGTCAGCTGAACTAGATTAATTGGACTGAATTTTTGGAAAGAATGCCACGTTTTCCTCTCTCAACAACTATCCCACAGTGCACCAGATACAACAAAAGTGGTGCAGTAAAAGATGTATGAGTAGGTGAGCAACACAGAAGGAGGAGACGCACAGAGCTACACTTGCCAATGCTGAGTTAATATAACTGGTAGTACAGGCTGCCTTCTATTCTGCTCCTGTATATCTACAGCATGCCAGTTTAGCTCTGACTGCAGAATCTCCATTGCTGATTGATACAAGCTACACAAATATGAGCTACATTTTCAGATTCCAAATGTATGTGCAATGTCCACCATTTGTAAAGTCTTTTTTTCACTGAACACCCCCCCAACCAAATCCAATAGGAACTGGATAACAAATAAGCGGCCCACAATATTTTACTATTTTGAGCACAACAAAAAAAATCCCTTAAATACGGAAAGTGAATGGCAGAATATAGACAAACTTAATAGATTACCTTCCATTTTTAAAAGCATACCAACTTTCCCACTACATTAACTGGAGTCAGTCTTCAGAAATCCGTTGTGGCAAGCTATGAAGCATAGATACAGAGGAGCTATATTGAGGAACCTAGACGACCGATACCAGAATTTATTTCCTTCCCCCAACACACTTTGAACACAGCTTCCCCAGTCACTGCAATAATCAGATTTACCTGTACCTCACAAACTTGAACGACAGCTTCTGCAAATGTGATCATAGTTAATCCTGCAAGCATGTTTATCAGTCTCAGGCTTTCCTACGTTCAGAGCAGCAGACGTTTGATGTTGGTGACCAAGCTGTGTTACTTTCAAGGTGTTTTCGTCCACATATGGAGAGAAAACAGACGCCCGTGTTACAGAACTGAGATTTAACCTTCCTAGCTAGGTGAACACATGATTCCATGGTACGTTCCCTTTCTCCATTCACACAGGAAGACACAAGACAGTTTGGCCAGAAGCGTCTCCTCATTTATGCCAGCAGCTCACCTAAAATCTCAAATGGTTGCAACACTCCACCACCACCAGCAGCCTCACTGTATGCTTGCATTTTAACCCCTGAATCATCTAACCTTGCTGGAAACAGATCCAAACAATGCAGTAGTGATAAAAAATTTAAAAAAAAACAACCCCAAAAAACAAGACGGCTGATACCAGTTCCTACCTCCCCCCAGCTAAAAGGAAACTGCAACAACAATGCAGCTGTGGTGAGAGGCAAGCGCCAAGTGCTGGCAAGGCTTGAGCATCGCCATCCTGGACTCTCCCGGATGTAGCCCTCGCTGCTTTCAATGTGTCCTGGGCACCACAGAAGTGGCTTAACCAAATGCAGGCTGCTTCTGTCAGGGGATCAGGCATGGCGGTGGTGATGATGGCATCTCCTAGGCAGGTGCCTTGAGGGTGGAAAGGCCAAACTTTCTACCCTGCTGCCCTGAGGACCAAGCAGGAGCTGCCAGCTCCACCCCAGACGGAGCTGGAGGGTGGCGCCCCCGCAGCATTGCCAGGTGAATAATAATGATCATATCTGTACACTGATTTCAACCCTTGCATGATCAATAACAGTAAGAGCATTCAAAGCACATGGTAGTTTTTGATGTGGCCAACTGGTGCAGCACCCGCAAAACCCAAGTCGCTCTCAGGGAAAGTAAACTGACTTTTGGGTTGGCTACCAGCACTTCCTTACAACGGCTCGCCTCGAAATAAAGAAAGGCTTCAGCTTTGCTGACTCCGTCCTCACTCACTCACTGGCGGCTTACACCGAGCTATGGAAAGTAAAGACAGCAGCTTATTTGCCTATTTTTTTACCCTACCATCATTTTGCAGCAAATACCATCATTTCCAATACTATCATATCATAGTTATTGTTTCTGAGTTTCCGATACTATTGTTTCATACTTAAGACCTGGCAACAGAGCGGCTCCCCCTGGAGCAGGGAGGCCGCGCATGAGGGCCCCGTCTGCCCTGGGGACAGGGCAGGGGCAGCGTTGCCAAGTCCACTTATGATAAGGAGAATTGGGCTTGCTTTTCTTTCTTTTTTTAAAGTTGCTTTAAATTTTTTGAGAGTCGAGGGGTGATGAGCACCCCACTCCCCTTTCTTTGCAATGGATCGGGCTGGTTTGGAAAGGCAGCGCTGCTCTTTTTTTCCCCTCATGAGACTCGGCCACACTGGGGGGGTGGGGGGTCACCTCTTGACGCGGATGATCTGGTCGCGCATGGGGCGGATGTCCTGGAAGCTCTGCTGGTTGACCAGGCTGTAGACCAGAATGAAGCCCTGCCCGTTCTTGATATAGAGGTCCCGCATGGAGGCGAACTGCTCGGTGCCGGCCGTGTCCAGGATCTCCAGCACGGAGGGCGACGCGTCCACCTCGATCTCCTTGCGGTAGAAGTCCTCGATGGTGGGGTCGTACTTCTCGATGAACGTGCCCGTCACGAACTGCACCGTGAGCGCCGACTTCCCCACCCCGCCCGAGCCCAGCACCACCACCTTGTACTCGCGCATCCTCCCTCCCAACCGCCGCCCAACGGCCTCACCCGCCCGCCGCCGCCGCCATGGGTCCCCCGCGCGCGCGCGCCCGG